ATATCAGAATTAATCACTAAGAAGTACAGAGACTGAGCTGTACAAGGAAAAAGGAGAAATAAATCAGACCACCACCCATTAGCTACTTTAATTTTATGAATTTCTCAGATTGGAGGTGGGAGAAGCTCTTGGTCTGGGTATGCATGGATTTTTCAAGCTTTGTGCCAAATCACATTTTATTTTTATAGGAGACTGGATTCAGAACACAGCTTATTGTCCCACACAGAAGGAAAGCCAGAGTTCAGGTTTCCTGTATTAGCTCTCATTGCTGAATGCTCCACAGCTTGCAAAAGTAAGGCCCTTTAAGCAAGGACATATGGAAAATAATAAAATTCAATATGGGCCAATCTATGGTTTCCTTGTGCACGCTAAATTTCAGCTTCAGGAATCTTTGTCAAGCTTATTCTAAGAAGCTTGATAAGTTGGTCAGTACATTGAAGCACAGTAATTCAGCACTAATTCTAAGTAAGCCATATTGAAAGAATAATAAAGCTCATAGGCATTCAGATCAGCGATTCTCAAACTTTTTTGGCAAGGCGCCCATACCTTAATAGGGAGTCTGTGTCACAGTTCTCCTCCCCTCCCATTCACAATCACATGAACATGAAATCCACAGGGAATTGAATATGTTCCCTGTGGCAACTACGGCAATTGCATGCATGGAAAAAGTAATATTAAGGACATGTGTAATGTCTTCTGTTGCAATTTGGCAGCGAAGAACAAAGAAGCGGAGCCAGCAGTGTGTGACCAACCAAACCAGTTTTCCACTGACTACTAGCTGTCCATGGACCACAATCTGAGAACCTGTGATTTGTCATTTGCATCCAGATTGAAGAAAGAGAACACCTCATTCCCCTACCCGCTTTTTTCAGGATCAGTCTAGTGTGGGGTTAATGCTAATGAAAAAAATATGTAATTCCCACCTCTATCACTTTTCTGGGTCTCATCGGGGTCACTATTTCCATTCCACAACAATTGTGTACCAATGGGCACATAGCATATTATTTGTGAGATGTTTGTATTTGGGGATATTATTTGAATCTCAAATAGGATTGTAATCCAAATCCAATCTACTGATATTTTAGAGCTACCTGACTGTATTGGGGTTTTGAGGAGTTGCTGGATACATGGCTCTTCTCTCTGTTCACCTGGATGCAATGAAACAAGCAGCAACAGATTTCTCCCCTAGCCCATCTCTCACGTTTGGTTAGGATGAGGGAGAACAGTAGCCAGCTAGACAGACCTAAAAGCACATGATCTGAAACTAAGCAAGGCAGAGCTAGAGGAACTTATACGCTCCTAGGCAGCATGAACATTTGCTGAAATTCTTTGCTCTGAACTGGATGGCTGGATATGGCAGATGTGCTAGTATTTGGAAAATCTAATATTTTATTTCCCCCCTCCCTAGCCTTTCTGGCCAACAAATGGGAGAGGGTTGTCCATTCTGCTCCCTCTCACATCCTTCACTAAATTAAATAGACCAGTGAAGGTCTAACAGTTTCAGACAACTCTCACCCCACAGTTAGTGGAAAACATCAACATTTATTTTTTATATCATTAGCTGACCACTTATCGGCCACACACTCCCATGTGCAACAATGGGGATCACACTTTTATTGGAGAAATATGGGTTCTACTTAGGTCAGAGGAAGGGATACTAGAAAGCAAAAGGGAAATGGGGAAGAGTGATGATTTTGGAAGCAATCGTAAAATTCTGTGGGAGAACTTCCTCCCTCGCCTCATGGGAACTGAACAGAGTTCATACTAGAGCTAAGTATCTTTTGACCTTATCCTAGATGGGATCCTCTTTTCCTCTTCACTCCCAGCTTCCTCAGTTTGTCATGGAAGGTTTAATTGGGGAGACCGTGATGTCTTTCCTAACTGATGTTGGGTTGAGTCACAGGACTAGCCTTCTGTAAAATGGCTTGAAAGAGGTGGCAGTCTCCAACAAACTAGTGCTGTGTGAGAAACATGCACAAGGGCCTTGATCCCAACTTGCTGCTTCTTGAGCTGTGATGCTAGAAAAGTACCGCTATTTATAAAGACTATTCTATACCCTCTGAGAATGGAGAGGCACTTTTGCATTAATATATGCTTACATGGCCTCCACAGTTGTATATCTTGATGGGCTCTCTTTTGTCTGTAGGTAACAAGGTCTCTTAGAATGTCTCCGTAATTACAAATGGCAGACTGAAATACCGCGTACCACCACCCCCCACCACCACTGTAGTGTTACATATATCTGACAGATCTTATTCAACTTCTTAGACAGTATAGGTTGAATGTCTGCTGGTTGTGAAATTGTTTCCTACCATATCAACAATTTCCTGAGTGTGCAATGGGCACAGTTAAATTACTTTTTTGCCTTTCCACCGGTAGGTAAGATTCTACTGGTTTGGGGAGTTATTCTCTGTGCTTATTATAGGGAATATTGCTACAACTGATAATATCTTTACTATCAGTAAAAGGCAAAAATAAAATATTTTAACTGTGCCTACTGTACAATTGAGAACAGGCCGGGGAAGTTTTTTGGCTCCATTGATTTGCTCCTTCATTTTGCTGCCACCCAGCCAATGCCCAGGGCCTGTCTTGGCACTGCTGTCTTAACAAGTCTTTTCACTGTTAGGAAAGTACAGATGGCAGAGCTGGATTGTGGTAACATTTGTTTCAATTTGATCTAAGTGGTTTTTCTCCTTCCAGCTATCACCTGACACTCGCAGCTGTACAAGTTAAATGTTACAGGAGATCGCTGTTAAGGGACTGATTCTGATTTTCTGAGAATCTGAAAATATCAGCTGCATCATCTGCCTGGGGTTTGCAATTTTACATTTGTCCCTCCACTCCCATAATCCAGTTCAAGACCACAGACTTTATACTGTAATGAAAATCCAGCTATGCCACCTAACCTCTTGTAAAATTAAAACTGATCCTTCTCTTGTAAGTGTTTTATATGCATGGTGAAACTGTTCTTTATCGTAGGAGAAGTGCTTTTATTATCAGCCAAAGAGCATCAGTTTACGATTACAGATCTGAAATCTTTATATGCCATCACAGTTGGTGCCAGAACATGTGACACAACACTGGGATTCTGGGGCACGAAGATTCAATAAATCATTTAGATTGTTGCAACATTTTATCACTTATCATAGGAATTTGGGAGCACGACAGCTCATGTTCTTCTGGGAGCACTGCAAGATTGTTTCCAGTTCTCCACTTCCATTCACTTCCACACTTTTTTCTTTAAGAACCATTTCTAGAAAAGGGAGCAGTATTGACACTGCCTTAAAGTCATCAACATAAAAGGAATTGCACACAACTACTGTATGTCATTATACTTTCATTTCTGTAAAGTAAGATTATCGAGTTTGCACTATATTAATAGTACATACATTTCTGGCATATTGTTTTTGGAAATAATCTCAATATATCCACTTTTTCAAGGATTAATTCTTCCATGAAAACATTATACGGTGTTAAGCACTCCTTACCATTGGGAACAAAAGATTAATGGTGTTTCCAAGCTAACCCTTAAGGAATTTAAAATTCATCACTGTGGAGTCCAGCTTACAGAAAGCTACTTCTTGAGCATTCCCATTTTATTAGAGAGAACTGATATGTGTTATTAGCCTCAGTTTAAAGTGTATGCTGCACATCTTATTTACTGCACACAAGCCTTTACTTGGCATACGTAAGATTTGAGAGATGAAATTTTATCAGGAAGGGGGAAATGTATTGGTTGAGAACTTATTTTAGTAGAAAGATTTAACTTCTGGCCTAGGTAAACAGTAATAAAAAGTTATTTATCTTTGCTGTAATTGTGCAAAACACAGGCTAACCTCTGATAGTATAATATTACCAACTGCCATTTCCTGCTGCATACCCCTACTGAAAAGATACAAGGGCCTCAGGGACTGAAGCAAATATTTTCCACATAATTTTTTTTAAACTGACTGAACTTCAAGCTTCTCAAGCTTCAGCCTTTATCAGAGATTGAGATAATATTGTGAAGCTTTCCATGAATTCAAGAAGTCAATGAAAATTGCAGATCCTGTTCACATTTCACATACAGAATAGACTTCTACCTACATATTTATTTATTGTTATTTATATAAAATATACGGGTAGTTAAAATCAGTAGCCAGACATTTCAAAAACTGAGATACTAAAAGACAATGTGAAAACTGTACTGGCATGAATACTTATTTGATTCTTTAAGAGAATGCATAGTATTTGCAAGAAAATATTTACAAGAAATACATAAAATTAGACTTTAAATGCTATACTATTTCTGGAAAGTTAAAAAAGTTTTTTTATACAAAAAAAATATTTATTGCTATCTTTAAAAACTGAAGAATAGTGTCAGGAAAGGATACAAGAAAATTATAAAAAACCACTAGAAACACATTTAATTCTTAGGTGAAAAGGAAAATTCTATTTTCTGCACTTTTACTTTTAGACAAGACAACTTTAAAAAATCCCATTTAGAAGTAACTTTGTTAAGTTCAGACTGTTCACCATAAAATTAAGATTTCAATTGTATTTAATCTATTTTTAAAATACATAAACTATACTGGAGGGCAAGTGTGTAACCCTCCCCCCCCCCAAAGTTCCGTGCAATTACACCTATGCAGAAAGAGCTAATTAAATGAACTACTGACACAAATACCCTCTATCACAAAATTATCAACAACATATTCTCATTGCTTACCATAAACCCTTATAAAGGAAGCATGCTGTATGTTTACAATCTCAATAACAGCCAAATTAAAATATTATTTTCCATTTGTTCAAAGCTTGATTTCATTCTTTCATTTTAAGCACAAAGAGAACTGATTTTTCCCCCCTCATGAAGATATGCCTATAATTAGATTCTCATGAAGAACTTGGCAATTGTGTAAGTTTGAGGCACTAAATATGTTTTTCCTTACAAACCTGAAAAGTCAAAGTCTGTTACTAACAAGTCTTTACAAAGATACAACAGAGCACAACAAATCACTTACCCTCTTTAGCCACGTGAAGTGCTTGTAAATATCAATCTCACCATCCATGCTTTGGGCCCATCTCAGCAATAATATTTCCTGGGTTAAGAGGAACTTTTTGGACAGAGGATAGAGCTTCGCCTTGCAGAATGCAATCGCTACGTCTCCCCTTTCCGCCCCCACCTCTAAGAGCATGAATCCGTGTTCATATTTTTCTTAAATCTCCTGCCTCTGTCCCTCAGGCTTATCCCAAACTCTGCTGACGGATGTATATACAACACACAACTGCATAAACTTCAGACTCTCCCCTCAGAGCATCTGTTTTTTTCAGTGCAGATCACAATTAGTGACAAGCAGCAACATCATTCTAAAAGCTTCAAAAGATGTATCATGCCAGATGGTCTCTTGGAAAAAAGGAGCCTTCCACTGTAGTCTAAACCTGCAGTAACTGTTCCCTATTAATGGCAAAATAACAAGCTAAAAATTACTAAGCTCTCATACAGAAACTATTTTCAAGTAATGCCTTCCCTGGCTTTCTGTTTCAAGAGTGGCTGGAACTCATTACCCAAAGACCCCCTATTTCCTGTCTCTGTTTTACTCTGTGTTTATCATAACACTCCTCAGCGTCTCAGTTTATTTCAAGCTGGGGTTAAGCCTAAAAATAAGCCCTGCTCTTTGAATTACTTCCGTTTTCACAGAGCACACCGTAAAAATAGAAGGGGTTCAAGAAGGACCTTTATGGATAAGTTAAATATTCTATGAACAAGACTTTTGCCAGAAGGGACAAAGTTTCATCTTTACAAAGAACAAGGATATGCCCCCAGCTTTTTACAGTCTTTTTCTACTGCAGCTGAAACCACATAGCATGGCAACGTTTCAAACTTGCAATGCCAAGATGAATGTATAGTCAAAGCAATGGTTCTGTTGAGAGGGGACATCTCAGGCGATTTTGCCTGTTATAGTGGTGTCCTCTAGTGCCTACACACAGTATTATGGCTGAGACTTAATTTTTCTTTATGAATTCCAGTTTCAGCTTTTTAGATTTCACTGGTGAAAATGCCCTAACTTGAAACGGGACAATAAAGAACTCCACATGAAGAGAGAATTATTTTGGACAAAAATATTTTAAAAATTGTAAGAAGTTAAATGACAGGATCCAGGTCATGTCAACCTCTGAAAAAAACAGGATGCCTTATGAGTACTGAGGTTATGTTGCATCAAGTGGCTTGGGGAGTGGGGTTTTCCCCCTTGCTGAGTCAACAATGACATCCTCACACCCATGCAGATCTCAGGTCACTCACACAGATGTCCATTGCCTCCAGGTTCCCCAGCCAAACTCTTTCTGCCTTTAGAGGGAATTCAACAGCAGAAAGAGGGAACCCATGACCAATAACATTGCCAACAATGGCACCACTATGTGCAAGGAACAACCAGGAGTTTAAAGCAGTATGTTTCCTTGAAAGAACTCTTGTCTGGCTCTGCCTCATTTAGCTACACCTCAAAGTACAGAGGCCTCAAGTAAAAATCTCCATCACTGGAGATTTTTAAGAGCAGGTTAGACAAAACACCTGTCCGGGGTCTAGATAATACTTAGTCCTGCCATGAGTGCAGGGGACTGGACCAGATGACCTCTCAAGGCCCCTTCCAGTCCTCTGATTCTATATGGAGGAGTTTCTGCAGTTGGAGAGGTGAAAGGAGTGGTGCCATGTTATCTCAACTCCTCCTCAGACAGACTTTGGCCAAAGTATCAGCGGGTAGCTGTGTTAGTCTGTATCCACAAAAACAACAAGGAGTCCGGTGGCACCTTAAAGACTAACGGATCTGTTAAGTCTTTAAGGTGCCACCAGACTCCTTGTTACTTTGGCCAAAGAATCTCTGTTCTATATCCTCCAAGGCAAAAAGCAGAGGGGATAACCCAGGTTGCCAGCTGTGCTTAAAAGTTCCTTTTTCTCATTTAAAGCCACATGCTGGGGGAAATATGTAAGACTTCTAAAGAGTGAGTGATGTTAAAAAGTGCTAGTATGATTAAAGGCACAAGCAAACCTCTGACAATGTAACAGAATGGTAAGCCATTTGTGATAGCACTTTGAAAGATATTTTATGTATTCATTCCAGATTTGCCTCATAAGACTTTACTGATAGCTGGCCTTTGTTGATGGGAAAGGCTTCTCTTAGTAGTTCTGCTGTTCTTCTAGACATCTAGAACAGCTAGGGTTGCCAAGCCTCCGGGATTGGCCTGGAGTCTCCCAGAATCGGCATTGATCTCTCAGTGACTACTGAAAGCAATCCGGGAGATTTTAATAGGAGATTTTAAGAAAATGACATTACGTCATGCTAGGGAAAAAACCTCCCGGAATAGCTTCAGTCAGAGTTGGCAACTCTAAGCACAGCCTTCTCATCAACTCTCCGTATCATTTAAAATCTCATAAAAACTCTCATTTCTCATGTGTCTATATTATGTATCTTACATAAATTAAATATGCTCATATGTGACAGCCACCATCTTGGCTGACATACTGGGGATCTCTGGAACTAAAAACACGAACTGTTACAGCTTGAGATAAAGAGATATGAAAGTTCTGAAACATATTTTCATGCAGGACAACAGTAGTTAGTTACAATTTTATCTTGAGCTTCAGGTGTACATTACATGGTTCTACTTGTGTGGAACCAGACTTTCCAAACTTTATCCATTTCAGATCATTTTCCAAACCTCATTTCAGATAACTTTCCAAACCTCCCTCATTTCAGATCATTTTTAAAAATAACTTGCCTCTGTTAAAAAGCTTTCCCCCCCCCACATTATGCTTTTAATTAGTCAATTAAATCCAATAATACTTTCTTTAAAACTTCTCACATTCAAAATGTCACTGCTTGACAGAAGTGGAATCAATTAATTACGCTCAAAGAAAGCTGCATTACCCTGCTTATTACTGTCTAAATACAATAGTCACAGACAGGTGAACAATATCTCTCTTGCTATAAAGAATATTTTAAATTACTAACATACCTTATTCCTGTCCAATGATTTGTTTCAGATTTCACATAACTGCGCCTTGAGTTTGTCACAGTCATTCTTCCTGACTAAAAGGTAATACTGTGACTGAATTTCTAGATATCTTACACTCAGTCAGCCCCTTATCAGCTAGGAATGTTGACAAAGTACACTCCAAACAGTCACATGTTTGCTGTTAGCCTGTCACCTGCATGCTGGATTTTCTCTCCTGTTTGAGCTTTGGCCCTAAAGAGTTTCAAGTATCAAATGAATAAAGCAGGATACAAACCAAATGTGTTAAGATTAATCAGCATATTTTTTCATTTAACTAGGAAGGTGGGCTGGTTTCTCTCGGGTGTATAAAGATGAGCTGGTGGGAAATGTTACAGTTTGGAAGTATTTTCATGAGGCTACTATTATATTGCTCCATTATATCTGCTGTTAAGAAACCAATGTCAACTTCTAATTATTCCTTTTAAAAAAAATTGAACAGGCAATCCTACATTCAATCCAGACCGTTCTTTTTTTCCCTTGGTATTTGATTTAGTATTTCACTTGAGCAATTTTAGTTCTCAAGAAACTTTATTGCTTATATCACCCGCAAAACAAAGAAGACATAGCAGATATGGGAATATAATCTGAAACATTAATCTTAAAAATAGCAAAGTTCCTGTAGTCCATTGTCTGTAGCCATAGACCACTGAACAAAATGCCTTCCCTTCCCAGTGAATTCTCAGAAGAGACCCACTGATCACAGCTGCTGCTCTTACAATGTCATCTCCTCCACTTTCAAAACAGATCAAGGGAGAGATCCACATGAATGCCTTACCTAATATATAATGAATGGAAACCACACTGCTATTACCCTGTGCAATTCTGGCTATGTACTAATCTATATTCAGAAGCATTAAATTTGCTTTTACAAGCTCAAATACTCTTTTAATCCCATATCAAACATTAAACAGACTTGCCACAATACATTTCTAAATCTACTAGGATCAGTGTGCTCCAGGCTCTTATTTATACCTCCGGCAGTTAAGAGACCAATGTTGTCATCTAATTCCAGAAGTGGAAGAGAAACAAAAAGCCACAGATCCTGCTGGGGTTGGGGAGAGAAGGGAGTGCTTGCTTTATGTCATGTTTGTCTTCTCTAGGGCTGAGAAGATGGTCATTCTTGGCAGCATTGTTCTATTACATGTTCTGAAGCAAACCTGTTGTGATGTTTTGGGATGGCACCCAGCTAAAATGTCTGAACTGCAGGGCCAGCGCTTCCACTAGGCGACCCTAGGCCGTCGCCTAGGGTGGCAGGATTTGGGGGGAGGCATTTTGCCATCCCTGGCAGCAATTCAGCGGCGGGGGTCCTTCCGCTCTGCGTCTTTGGGGCGCTTCGGCAGCGGGTCCTTCACTCACTCCGGGACCCGCCGCTGAAGCGCCCTGAAGACGCGGCATGGAAGGACCCCCCACCGCCGAATGCTCAGAGGAGGAGCACTGCTGCCTAGGAAGGCAAAAACCCTGGCGCCGCTCCTGATGAACTGTGCTCCTATTGGAGCCATGTTGCCATATGAGATCGGAGAAAGGGGGGGGAAAAAGCAATACAGAGATTCAGGAACTCTATATGCATGACTCTAGCCTCCAGCAAATCTGCAGGGGGGAGAGCAGGGCATCAGTTCTGAGGACAAATCCCTCTGAAATGGAGCACATCAAAATTAAATTTAAAGTGGGAAGTTTTAATAAAAACTGGGAATTGTTCAAGGATATCCTACTGGATGTCCAAAAAGCCACAAGTCCACAGACAGTGTAAAAAATTACATTGAGCAAGAAAGAGGCTTGGTTAAGAGGATTATATATCTAAATAAATAAAAAGATAAAAAAGTGGAAGTAAATGGCAATGAATACAAGTTACAAGTTAAAAAAACTATGCTATTGATAAGGGAAACCAAAGAAATCAATGAAATATAAATAGTCAATAGGGGTAAAGATAATAAGGTGGCATTTTAAAACATATCAACAACAAGAAAAATGCTACGTCAGGTATAGGTCCATTGTTAGATGAAGATGGTAAAACTACGCACAGTGGTATAAAAAAGGAGAAATATTCAATAAATGCATCTATTCTGCATTTAGAACAAAGCAGGAGGATGTATCCATCCTGTATGATGTTGTGGATGGAACAGAAAGTTTACTATCTGTGACAAAGAAAGATGTGAGGCAGAATCTGCTAAAATTAAACATTTTGAAATCAATAGGCCCAGATAATTTACACCCAGGAGTCTTAAAGGAACTAACTCAGGAGTTCTCCAAACCACTAATGATAAAAAATAACAAACCTTGGAAAACTAGGGAAATTCCCAAAGGGTAGGAGGACTGCTACTGCAGTTCCAATATTTAAAAAAAAGAGTAAAAGAGATAGGATGACCAGATGTCCTGATTTTATAGGGACAGTCCTAATATTCGGGGTTTGTCTTATGTAGGCCACTATTACCCCCACCCCATTCTGATTTTTCACACTTGCTATCTGGTCACTCTAAAAAGGGATGACCCAGGGAACTAAGGACCAGTTAGCATGATGTTAATCTCAGGTAAAATAATGGAATGGTTAATTT